ACCCCCCTATAAACAGCAGTGTCTCTTCCCAGGGCACCACGGCCCTTCCTCCATTCCCCTGTGAGATTAATTAGTGAAATCATATCAGTTTGTCCTCAGTGTCAACTCCGACTAAAAATAAACCATCTCAATCAAGCCGCTCCCCAGCACATTCAAAGTAACAAAGACTTATGGAGTACCTGGCAAACTGATTATGTAGGACCATTAAGGCACTCTCATGGTGAAAATATTATTATTATATTTTGTATATTATATATTATTATTACTATATCATATATCATTATATATTATATATAATATTATATATAATAAAAAAACAATAACAACAACAACAACAACAATAATAATAGAGAGTGTGAAAACTCTCTCTATTATCCCCAAGGTAATGGTATAGTGGAAAGAGTCAATGGCATGGTTAAAAAACATGCAAAGGCGTCACAGCCTAACTGGGATCTGTGGCTATCCCAAGCAGTGTACACAGTAAATAACAGATGGGGAGCCTATGGAAGCCCCAAAATACAAGCTTTCTGTCCCACAGGACCTCTTGCTCCAACCTCCTCAGAGCCCTCACAGTCACAAAATTACACACCTACTTGAATGCAGGTGGGACAACCAGTGATGGTAAAATTGCCCTCTATTGGTGTGGTTCCTTTAATTTTGGCTAAACCTTGAGGACTAGGTGCCTGGGAAGCCACTGATGCTAATGGGAAAATGCACCGCATAAGCAGTCATTGGATGATTTCAGGCTTTTGATTCCTAACCAAAAACCTGGACCAATATAATTGCTTGTTTGTGCTTGCAAAATCAGTATCAACCCAACATGTACCAGTCAAGACAGAGACCCAGCAATTCTTCCTTTTGCTTTTCAGGCTATCAATACCCTGGAATGCTGGAAAATTGTACTTGGACCCAAGGACTTTCCTATACTGTGCTCGAGCATCCATAAGGTAGTTTTCTGCGTAGTTTGTCTTGTAATTGCAACTTAAATTGCTCTTGGTTCGGGGACTTTCAGGTCTTCATGGGTTTTACACCATTTAGCTCAGGATTTTCTTTTGGTTCAGAATCAAACAGCATTGTGATATTGCCAAAATATGATGAATTGCTCCAATTGGGTCAGGTATTATTGGCCAGTTTACATTTCCCTTACATTAAGATGACCATGCCATAATCACAGCATAAGATACAAATCATTAGGTGTAAACTTTGCGCCTCGTAATGATTGCCCTGTTGCTTCTGGTGATGCTCCAGCTGGTTTGATCTGGGCCTGCAGGGATGGCAATATGTATTCCTCCTTAGGGGCTGGATTACCTGAACTCCAGTGTACTTTGGGCCTTCCAACACTGTGCCCCATGTGGAGGACTCCTCTCTGACCCCACTGGATGGCTCGAGCAAAACGGACAAAAACAGAACTGTCAAGACATGTAGAGGGGTGGCAGGGCCCAGGAGCAGCTTCCCACACAGCCTGGGGAATGGAAGGACTTTTTGGATTTGGTGGTGCTACCGTAAGAACGCGATTATGGCTAAGTAAGTTTGCATATCAAGTAGAAAAACTAGCTAATGCCACTGATACTAGTATACAGTTACTCAACCATCAATTACAAGCTACGTCAAAAATGACTCTTTGGAACCGCATGGCACCGGACTTGATGCTGTTACACCAAAATGGACTTTGTGGCTACCTAAACCTCTCCATTAGTGACTGCTGCATTTATATCCCTAACGTTACACAGGACCTCGACATCCAACGAGAGAAGATACGACAGGTGGCCAAAGACACCCATGAACTCGGGGAATCAAAGATCACTAGTTGGCTGGCGAAGGTGTTTAGTTGGTTTGAATTTGGTGTCACACGTTGTATCCAAAGTTTATAATAGAGTATGTGGTAATGATAATTGTGATGATAACTATTGTAAATATAGCAATATTCTGTGTAAAATCAGCTATAATGAAAGCTAGTAACGTAAGGATCATTCAGTTTACCTCTTATACCTCTTTACAAGCAGATGACCCAATTGACATTCCGGCTCCTAAGACTAATTTGAGACTAAATTTCCATATGCAAAGGTGACTGGAGTCATGGGATGGATACACAAAGTTTGTTACAAACATTACTTACTATTCTAGTTGCAATAATTTTTGTATGTATTATTATCAAATGAAAATGGTAAAACTATACTCCCCCCGCCTCCTTTTTGTAACTAACCCCCCTCTGCTGATATACCAATGCACAACCACTTGCTTAATTGTGCCATGTCTTAGACACGTAATGTTAACACCTAAATGCCCTCGTGAAGTTTGAGTGACTATAGTCACGGGGGGATAGCGTGAGAGAATTGCTCGAGAAAGCGGAAATTAAGAGAAAAACTAGGGCGTAACAGAAGTTATGGCATTACAGAGGCTTGCTTGAGGTGAGAGATAGTTAACCACTTCTAGGATGGTTGGTATGTGTGGAATCTACTTCTCCACGATTCCCGTGGCAACACAATCTGCTCTCTAGCACACATTAATAAGAGTAAATGAAGAGCACAGCAGAAGGGAGACACCATGGCCAAACTTTGTTGGCTTCCCTGTGAAGGTGGTAACCTGATGGTTCTGTGCAGATGATAAGTGAATGGAGGGTGGCGCAGAGTGAAGACACTGTGCCCAAACTCTGCTGTACTCCCTGCAGAGGTGACAGCTTGGTCGTACCACGCAGCTGATAAGCCACATCATAGTACGATAAGATGTCTGGTGCTGGGCCAACAATGGTGGCAGATCAGTCCCTTCTGATGGATTTCGCTCAAACTTCTCCTCCTTCTAATCTCATTATAATACCAATACACAACCCCATCCTAGAAGTTACCCGCTTCCAAGGAACGACCCCTCCTCACTGAGCATGCTCTCTAGATTTTCAATTAACTTGGGAGATTTTTTTAAACCAATCAATAACGAAAGTAAGTATGACTAGAGTCACTCAAGCTTCACCTAAATGTAAAAGAAAATATATAAAAGGTGAACTAAGGAGGAATATAGCTTGAAGAAGGAACTGAGGAAATAGGAACTGGGGAAGAGAGGAAGAAGGAAAGAAGAGAGAAAGATGAAAGAGGAGAGAGGGAAGTCCCCATCATAACTTCTGGATCAGTTCACAGACCGAATCCCTTTCCTCCCCCCTGGTCAGGACACCGCCTGAGGAGACTCCTCAAGTTTGAGAGCCCTCTCCCATCCTCCGGGAGAGTGACAACTGCGCATTTGTACAGTAGGCACTAGCTAAGAACCCCACACTGCAGCTGAGAATTTCCTGTAGTGACACCTGAAACCAGTTCTCTACATGTTGCGTTTGAATAAATTGTGCTATTGGTGAAGCCACCACTTGTTTTGAAGGTGATCAGACCTACAGTCGAGAGGCTGTTCGTGAACCTGATATTGCCAGAGTTGGGCACATAGCTGATCGTACTATCTGTGAACTCAATCCACCGTTTGGAAGGTGATCAGACCTACAGTTGACAGTCTGTTTGTGAATCCAGCACTGCCAGAGTCGGGCCTATAATTACCAGTATTTGGTATCCCTGTTAAGAGATGCCGCCCCCAGCCCCTCTAACCTTTCAGGATTGCTGGAACGCAGGGGAATTCATCTCTTACCAGATTTGCTCCCCCCCGTCAAACCGCAACACCCCCTTACCTCTTAATTAATTAAATGCTTAATTAACGGACGATCCCTTGGCCCCCTCCCGCGGGCAGCGCCTGCGGGGCTCG